AGATGGGCTCTGTCCCTCTGTCTATGAAAATCTTATTTACAGTCTTGTATACTTCTCACGGTGACCTCATATCTGGAACCCATTCCCATCCCCATCTGCGAAGAACAACTGTTCTCAAATGGGGTGGGGGCGGGGGGCAGGGGCCCTCGGGCTGCATAGTCCCATGATGTCACAGGCCAGGAGGAATCGCTTACAAACTCCTGGGAATGTTAGACTGATCAGATTATTTGCTTTCATGCTAGCAAAGAGTTGCTTCAAAACCAAATAAATAAACAAATTTTGAGGGGACTGACAGGAGAAAGTAATCCCACTGCAGAATATTTCCTTTGCCTTCTATCACTACAAAATCTAGAACCAAAATTCTAAGTTACTTTTCTCTCAAGTTCAGGCAACTAAAGTTTCTCCCTACACACTCTTCATCAAAAAACTATCAATCTGGCTCCATCAACCAGCAAAGTAATTTTTATTCAACCTAAAGGCACCAAGCATCAAGCCAATGCCAGGCACTGTGCTAACCTGTGGGAATAAGACATGATTCTCATGTCGCGAGGGAGTGAACAGTCTATCTGGGAGAAATACACATGCCAAGAAAAGGCAATTAGACTCAGAGTCAAATGTTCGGAGAGGAGTTGGCTTCTGGAAAGAGTTAACAATCAACTCTGCTTGGGGGGATAAGGTGAGGGTTCTGAAAGGAAGTAACATTTTGGGAGGGCCTTAAAGGGCAAGCTCGATTCCATCTAAGTTGTGGGAGAAAGCATTCCACCCACCAGGAACAGCATGTCCAAGTCACAGATGTGTCACCAAGCACGGAGTTGAAAAGAAACATCTTGAAGTCCAGGGTGGCTGAAGGACAGAGTTCCTGGAAGGGGCAGGACAGGAGAAGAGAATGGAAAGAGCGCAACAGGTCATCTGACCTGAATCCAGACGACAGAGAGAAAGCCACCAGGGAAGATAAGAGAGAGACAGATGTGTGGACAAGTGCAGCTCAGTATGTAAGTACAATGATGAGCGGCAAGCAGATGGATTACTGAATACACAATGCCCACAATGCCTACATGCAGCCATGACTTCTCCTGAGAGGGCTTGTCAACGGAATCCAGAAGAAACTTTAAAACGAAAAGGAAAGAAGCCAGTACCACTAGAACTGGAACAATCAATTTCTTAATGGTTATTCCATGAAGAGTCTTCATCAATCACATGTGTACTTGGTGGTGGTGGTGTGCCATCAAGTCGGTTCCAACTCACAGGATTCTTGTGCAGGGTTCCCAAGTAAATCTTTATGGGAACAGAAAGTCTCATGTTTCTCCCATGGAGCCATTAGTGGATTCACACTGCTGACCTTGCAGTTCGCAGCCCAATGCATAACCCACAACGCTACCAGGGCTCTTTATGTGTACTTGACCAATTCTACAGAAAAGCGCTGACAAGCAAGAGAAGGTGATAGTATCTGCTAATTGCCTAGATCTTTCACCAAAAACACAAATGTAGGAACTCTGTCAGATAATGGTCCATTTTTCTCAAGTGAGCCAGGTAGCATATGGCAAAATTTCTATACTAATCCAAGAAGGCTTTGGAAGAATTACAGCCAGAATGCTCCTTAAAAGTAAAGGTGGCAAGACTTTGTCTGACTGACTTCCAACATTTTACCAGGAGGGTCCAGTCCCTGGAGAAGGGCATCATGCTTGGTAAAGTAAAGGTCAGTGAGAACAAGGACGACTCCTATTGAGATGGACTGGCACAGTGGCTACGACAATGGGCTCAAACATAATAAACACTGGAAGAGGGGGAAACTGCACACTGCTCCGTTCTGCTGTACATGAGGCCGCCATGGGTGACAACCGACTTGGTGGAAACAATTCAAAAAATATGCAGCCCTCTCTCCCTCGAAACTACTAGTCCCTGCCTCACACTGCATCCTCAAGGAGACTTAAGCTGCCTTGCTCCATACTGATCGATAAGTTCATGTTTTCATTCGTGTTACTATCTCTCCCAACTTCCTTCCCTCACACGTATCACTCATTTAATTGACGCAAACCAGTCATCCTTCAAGACCCACCACAGGTGGTACCTTCAATAGGGACCCTTTCCATAACTTCAGCTGCTACTCCCAGTTTTCCCACCCCCAATACACTCTCACACACCCTGGTCACACTTCAATCTTAGTACATAACATCTCACACTTCAATCTCCTGTACTCTTGACTTCCTTCTACCCCCACTGGACTAAAAGCACTGAAATGCTTCTCAAGAGTCCATGGAACAGGGAAGGAGTCTTCACATTAAGGATGAAGCCTACCCTCTCGGTATACAGGGTTTATAGAAATGGACAACGAAGACATTGGCTACCTAAAATGGGGGGAAGGGAGGGAAGAGACTGTAAAGGCACAAACTGGCTGGCTTACAAATTTTCAAGAGGGAGTTTACTTTCAGAGTCCAGGGGAAGGTAGAATCCCCACTGAATAGTTTTCATCTTGTCTAAATGGTTCCGGTGAAAGGAGATGGGGGTAAGATTCTTAGGATTCAGTAGTGAGTAGTTGTTATTGTGACTAATCACGATGGTCAAGTCTACTGTAAAGGTAGACGTTTTGTATCATAAAGGCAGGGAATAGTTCATCTTACATTCCAGGAAAAGAGGACCCTAGGACCATCAAGGGAGAAAAGAACGAGCAGAATGTGGGACCCTAACCAGAGAAGCAGCGACATCAGAGATGGAGGCAGAGATGATGACATGGAGAGATAGAGCAGCTGAGGACTCTAGATTTATGGAAAGTGAAAGGCTGCATGCTGGCGGCTAAGAGGCAAGCTTGCACAATGTGCCCTTTGGTTGTTTAAATGATTATATACACCTGGGTGTTTCTGTGTACATCAAAAAAAAATTTTTTTAACAGAGGGAATAGAAACAAATACTGTTTGAAGATGCATGGAGGGGATTGTAATCATTGCAATGAAACGATGAGCGTAAAGCTGATGTTCTCCCATGTAAACCATCACTCAAGTCACAATAAAAGCATTTTCAGATTGAACTAATTTTTTTTTTACTTGAAACTGATAATATTTCATCATTTATCTGTTTGTACAGTGTTTCTGGTAATTTGATGCACAGAAGATATTTATCCCTTTATTTCTCCTACCTTGCCAAGAAAACATGGCTATAGTCACTTCCAAAAATCATTAGATCTAAATGAGAAGAATCATCATTAACAATATGACATATTGCATGCATTAAATTGCCATTTGAGGTATAGTTAGCTATGGAACACAGCTACACTCTGTCACACAGGGATTTGCCTTTAGGCATAGTAAACTTCATGTCAACTGGCTCTTACTCTGAGTACCATTTTTCAAGTAACTTTGTGCACTGGTGCTTGATTTGTATTTTCTTGTTATTGTTTTCTGGTTGTTGTTGTTGTTGTTAAGTGCCATCGAGTCAGCACCGACTCATAGCGACCCTATACACAGCAGAATGAAACACTGCCCAATCCTGGGCCAACCTCACTACTACTGCCACAGCTGAGTCCATCGATGCCGCCACTTGGCTAATCCATCTCATCAGAGGTATTTTTCTCTGACCCTCCACATTAACAAACATGATATCCTTCTCCAGTGACTGGTCCCTCCTGATAATGTGATCGAAGTATGAGAGACGAAGTGTGGACACCTTGGCCTCCAAGGAGCACTCTGACTGCACTTCTTCCAAAATGGATCTATTGGTTCTTTTGGCAGCCCATGGCACTTTCAATATTCTCCTCCAACACCATAGCTCAAAAGCATCAATTCTTCTATAGTCTTCCTTATTCACTGTCCAGCTTTTGCATGCATATGAGGTTACTGAAATATCATTATCATGGCTCGGGTCAGGTGACCTTAGTCCTCAAGCTGACATCTTTGCTCTTCAACACTTTAAAAAGGTCTTGTGCAGCACATTTGCCTAATGCAATATGTTGTTTGATTTCTTGACTGCTGCTTTCGTGAGTGTTGATAGTTAATCCAAGAAGAATGAAGTCTTTGACAACTTCAATCTTTTCTCCGTTGATAAGAATGCTGTTTATTGATCCAGTGGTGAGGAATTTTGTTTTCTTTACATTGAGATGTAATCCATACCAAAGGTTGTACTCTTTCATCTTCATCAGTAAATGTTTTAAGTCCTCTTCACTTTCAGCAAGCAAGATCGTATCATCTGCATATTGCAGGTTATTAATGAGTCTTCCTTCAATCCCGATGCCACGTTTTTCTTCATAGAACCCAGCTTCTCGGATGATTTGCTCAGCATACAGGTTGAATAAGTATAGTGAAAGAATACAACCTTCTTGCACACCTTTCTTAATTTAAAAACATTTAGTGTTCGAACAACTGCCTCTTGGTCTAGGTACAGATTCCTCATGAACACAATTCTTGTAGTTCTTGGTAAAACCAATAAAGATTAAAAAAAAAAAAAAAAAAGAGTCCATGTGACTACTCCTGGGTCACAAGGGAAGCACAAGAAACGTTAGCTGAACCCAACTAGCATGTGCACATATTCTGTAAAGTACAAAGTATATGCTTAGTATATGGCTGTGTTGTGCACACGGTTTCCTTTCTGCCTTCTCCATTGTTCTCTACCACTTAGCATCCATGTGCTCCAAGCAAACTCAACTAGTCAATGTCTCATTTATCCAAACCTTATTTTCCACTTCTGTCTTAGCAGCTCACACTGGTCCCTGCACTTGGAAAGTTTTCTCTCTTATTGTCACTTTCTCAAACAGCACCAATCCGTGGTCTGGCTCAGATATAGCCCTTCCAGTAACGCATTCCAAGACAGTGCTAACTGGAAGTGATGGTTCCCTCTTCCCAGATCTCAGAGTACTTTGTTTGTACCTGTCTTGGGGCACTAGCACCTCTCTGTACACTGGAGGTCTAAGACGCTGTCAGCCCCGGGTCCACCATCACATCCTCATCAAAACACACAGCACAGAGCAGCATGCATTTGTTGAGTGAATAGTTACTTCCGTAAGTTTTAAGCACCTGAATAAGTGTTCCTCTCTTCAGGCCTTCTGAGACATCCTCTTTGAGCATGTAGGTTTCAAAGATGCTCTTTTTCTTCCCTCGCATGGGCTTGTTCTTTGACTTTCTGTCACCTGGCGAAGCACCAACACCATGTGGGCTGGCCACAGAGGACACACCTAGAAACAGGAGGCAGCAATCAACTCTTTCCGCAGTTCAACATCTCAGGGTTGGTTTTTTTTTAGCTTTTTTTGTAAACTGGAGATATCAGATACACATTTTAGTTTAATGAAGCCCTGTGATGACCATTTCAAGCAGTCTCAGGAAAGAGTGGTTGGGGAAGGACATGTGAATAAACCACACACAGATAAGACTTGAGTTCTGAACCAGCCCCACAGACACACGAAACAGAATCTGAATAATGGGTTCAGGATGCTGTGCTGTTTATAGACACACACGTTTTTTATATAGGGATTACTAAGACTGGCAAGCCGCTGTAGGAAACTACACAGCTGTACTCAATATAACAATAAACTAAGACAACTTGAAACCACACCTAATCCTAGAATAAATAACACTGGAGACTATTTAACAGGTCACCAGAAGAGTTATAATTGCCCTCAGTCCCAGCACCCACCCTTCCACCTCCACACCCACTCCTCCTGTGCTTTGGGCCTCCTTGGGATTCACAGGGAGTGGGCTCCATTTTCCTTTGTGCTACCTCTGGGTGTCCCCAGGGACTGGAGGTTCAGCCTGTGGTCAGGATGACTCATCGCAGATTTCTAGGTTCGCCTCTTCTCTCCAGATCCACAGGAGGACCCTCCACTGCCCAGCTCCGAGACCGTCTTGCCTTGAGCAGCTCAGTTGTCACTAGCTGAAACCAAAGAGAGATTGGTGATGGGAGAGTACACAGGTGGCCTCCTCTAGTCCACTTGGACATTTAGCACTTGAGCCACCCCGCCGGAGCCTGGCAGTTAGTAGGCAATCCTCCGGCCCCAGATACTTTCCAAAGCCTTCACCCTCGCAGGTCATACTAGCTTGCTGCTTCAGGGAACTGCAACTAGAAAACTCCATGTATGAGACAAGGAGGCAGAAATTCAGAAATTCTGCAATTCTATTCAGCTTGCAAAATGCACAAAAGTGGGAGGAAATGTGGCTTTGTAAAATGGTGTCATGATCTACAATCAACAGGCTGTAAGAGAGTAACTACTAAGGTCTCAAGTTGTTATTAGTTGCCACTGAGTGACCCCACATGTACAAAGCAGAACTGCTCCACAGGGTAGTCGTGACCTTTGAAAAGCAGATTACCAGGTCTTACCTTCTGCAGTGCCACTGGGTGGGCCTGAAATGCTAACTAGGCCTCAAGGGTTCAAGAATAAATGAGAGCTCCAGAGAGTGGCATTTACTCTCTCCAAGCTTGCATAAGTGACCTGGTGATCGTGGTGTGCCACTGAGTTGGTGCCGACTTACAACAACCTTGGATAGGGTTTCCAGAGCCGTAACTCTTTACAGAAGCAGAAAGCTTCATCTTTCTCCAGCAGAGCGACTGGCAGATGTGAACTGCTGACCTTGCAGTTAGCAGCCCAGCTCATAATCTACTACATTACCCTCCATGAAACCAAGTTAGCCAATACCTTAGAATTCATTGTTGTCATTGTTAAGTGACCGTGAGTCGATTCCGTCCCATAGCGACCCTGTATAGGGTTTCCAAGGAGCAGCTGGTGAACTTGAACCACTGACCTTGCAGTTCAAATGACTTTGCAGTCTGACACACTAGCCCACAGTGCCACACCAGGACTCCTTATGGAAACCTAATTGATTGCCACAACTTGATAAAAGGCTTCAGTAGCCTTCAAACAATGGCAGTGTTGTCAGGCGCTTATTCGCCTGCCCTTACCTGCCATCACCTCAAACTAGTCATCTGACCAGAAGTTCAGGCAGCTGTTTCCAAGGAGTATGGGAGCAGCTGTCTGGATCAGCAGACTGGAATGTGGGGCCCTGCAGCTGGCCCCTGGCCTTCCACCTGGACAGTGAGCATGTCATCATAACTTCTATTTTCTAGTCTCTGCTGGCCAACAGCCCAGGACTGAAACCTAGCCTTGCAAATTTCCAAAATCCTGGTGGCCCGTCTGCTTTCCCATAAAATGGAACAAGATGTCATTCTGAACACTAGCTCCCATTTTCTCTAAATTTCCCACACACATCCTTCAACACCATGACGTAATTTTTCTTTAAATTGAAGTGAATAGTAACTCAGAAGAGAAGCAAGCGAGACAAAGGGCAGCTGGCTACTTCTTTGTGATACATGAAGACAATCAGAGATACGGTCAATCAAATTGCAAGAAGGGAGAAAAGAACTTCCAAAGGAGAAGAAGGAGGCTCATGGAGATGGTGTGCTCCACTAACAAGAACACAAGTGCCCAATAATGCCAGCCATGGGTAGAGTGCGGGGCTGAGGCATATTGCTTGTGAAAATAATCCAAAAACAAGAGCCAGAATCCAAAATGGGGTACTCCATAGATCAAGTCCTGATGCAGAATTCAAAACTAAGGAAAGTCATTGCCAGTTAAGTGAGATTGCAACTCAAATGTCCCTAGGTCCCTTGCATCGGCACCTTTCCTTCACGGTAGTGTTCTAGGGACTCCCAGTGTGATGCTGTAACATAAGCACTGACTGTTAACCATAAGGTCGGTGGTTCAAACCCACCAGCTGCTCCTTGTAAGCCCTATACAGGGTCGCTATGAGTCAGAACTGACTCAACAGCACTTAACAACAACAATAATGTACGGAAGAAAAGAAATCCCATCTTCACAAATAGAGAAACTCTTTATTAATTCTTAAACAGGAGTAAAAACAAAACAAGACAAACAGATCACCTAGGTGAGGGAAATCTTCAGTATGACACCATGATGAGATGTCCAAAGCTCCGCTTCCAAAACCTGTCCCACATAGATAATATTCTACATTTTACTTTGGTGAGCAGTGACTGGGTCTTTCCATGTGCAGAAGAAAAAAGAGTGATGAGAACTGAAGAGACTTGAAATCAACTAGTCCAACAGACTAAAGGAACACGTGAACGAACATCAGTGTCCATGACTCTGAGGCCAGAAAAACTAGATGGGGCCTAGCTACCACTCTCAACTCTGTTGTGACAGGGGTCACATTGGAAGGGCCAAGATAGAGTGGGAGAAAAATGTGTAACAAAACTCAAAATTATATATTTAAAGCAGACTGGGCTTACTGGTCAGAAAGAGACTGGAGGAAACCTAGGCCACCCTTCAGGCCTGAACAGAACTCACCTCATGGCCCAATTTTAAGCTAAGTAGTAAATAGGTATCCAGGGAGGCAACGACAGAAGTGAAGTATGCAGACCATGGAATGGTCAACCATTCAAAATCAAAAGGGCAGCATTTACCTAAGGACAAAATTGAGAAGGGTTGGGAAAGAGGGTGGGATGGAAAGAAGAGCCACAAGGAGGAACTGTTGCTATATGGAGGGGATTACAATCATTGAGATGAAACAATATGGATGATGTGTTGAATGTAAAACTGATGATCTGCTCTGTAAACCTGCACTCAATTCATAATAAAAAGTTTTTACAAAAAACAAAGTTCTGCCTTCAGGTAGCGACCTTTTATAGGACACAGAAAACAAGGGACTCTCCTTCCACAACCACGGCTGATGGCAGCAAAGCCTCACTGACCTATGCCACACACATGGCAGGCCTACAGAAGCAGAGAGGGGACTATTGCAAATGGGAGAGCTTACCATGGTCCCTGAGGCTCTCTAGGGACATCACAACCAGCCAATCATTATGGGAAAGTTCCTGCAAGGGCCAGCTGGGGGAAGTGGCCCAAAACCCACTTTTAAGTATACTCTGCTTTTAATCTGGCAGTTCGGCTGTCAAGGTGCATAAGATATTCAAGAAAAATTGCCATATGACCCCTTAAACATAGGCACAAGATGGAATTAAGCTCAGCCTGGCTGGAGTCGTTCACAGACTATCTTCCCATTTCATACTCTTGTTGATGTTAAGTGTTGCTGACTCAATTCCGACTCACAGAGACCCTGTGTAGGGTTTCCAAGGCTTTTTTTAAACTTCGCGGGAGCAGAAAGTCTCATTTTTCTCCCGCGATGTGGCTGGCAAGCCTGACCAGTGGACCTTGTGATTTGCAGTCCAGTGCTTATTGTACAGAGCCACCACGCTCCCTTCACGCTCTATAGCAATAGATATGCCAGTTTGTGTGATCACTACCTAACCTGTCTCTATCTAAGAGGAAAAGGAATGTTTGCTTGGGTTCATCATTGTAACTCTAGTGGCTCCCACAGTACCAAGCACAGGAGCTCAACACCCACTCCTTAAGTGAACACATGAATTTGTTTTAATGAGCAAACATTGAAACCACTAAGCAAAGAGGGAACCAAACTGAAAACAAGTCACAAAGAAGGGGGAAAGACCCTGGAAAAAGGCTAGACAATTAAGAAAAGAGTCAAAACTTACCTTTGTATATTAAACCACTCAGAGGACCTGGAAAGATTCACAAACCAGAGTCTTCCCTTCTCAGCAATGTAGCTGTGAAGGTCCAATAACGCTGGAGAATTCTTGGGCATTCCTACCTGATCCATTGAAAGCACAAGTCAATCAATTTCCAGTCCTCACCAGCTCCCAGGATAAGAGCCACCAATAAACTGCCCAACTACCCGCCCTAACTTCAAGAAAAGGTGTTTTACCATAGAAACAGCTGCACATTCCAAAGAGTTGGATTAGGGTTAGGCACCAACAATCAATAGTGTCATGGGTTCACTATTATGCAACTGGACAAAAAGGCAGAATGATAAGAAACAGGAAAAATGACTTGATGAAAAGTAATTTTGAAGAACGCATCTGAGTGAGAAAAGTGGTGTCTTCAGATCCTTTATATATTTCCCACACACAGCACAATGCATAATGGAGTCCAGGTGTGGTACTGCAGGATAATGCACTGGACCACAAGGTCAGTGGTTCAAACCCACCAGTCGCTCCTCAGAAACCCTATACAGGGTTGCTATGAGTCAACCGATTCAAAGGAATTTAACAACAGCACAATGTATAGTGCATAGCAGGTATTCAAAAAAATTAATAAATACATGAGCCTATTGGAAAGTAAGAAAGGACCCATGGAGAGCAAGAAATAGGGAAAACAAGTGAAAGAGAACATAAACTGTTGTAATAAAGTTACAGAAAAAAGAAGATGGAATAGCCCAAGTCTCATGAAATTAAAGAAACAACCCCTTTTACACTGCAAATCAGAAGAAAAGATATCAATTATACAGCACGTACTGTAAATAACCAGCTATTTACCCAAAAAAAGTCAATATACCCCTACTTCATAATTATTGTAAATCTCAGTTTAAATCACATTTAAATGTTGAAAAATACAGAGAAAAAAAAAAAAAAAAAGAGATAGGCTGCCTCAACAGACAGACAGAGAGAAGACATGGGGAAGAACTACCAGAGTGGCTGAACGAGAAGCCTGACAGATCATATCCCCAATCAGCAACAATAAAACTGGGCAAAATGGTCAAAACCAACCAGTTAGAAGTTTGGAAACAGACTAAAAATGGATAAGAAATTGAACAGTGTTAATTCAAGAAAATCTACTGCATCTCAGTAAGAACAGTGGGAGTCTGTGGCTTTTTTACCTACGGTTCCTACCATCTGCCACTACTCCCAGTTAGCGGCACATAGGTAGTACTAAGACAGGGCAAGCCATGAAGACTGGCATTTGTACTG